AGAGTGAAGGATCTGCAAAATGAAGCTGCTAGGGAGGAGGAAGTATTCTGGAGCCAAAAATCTAGAGTGAGTTGGCTTAGAAATTGGGATAAAAATACCAAATTTTTTCAAGCCAGTGTCAAACAGAGGAGGGTTAGAAATTGTTGTTTGGGGAACATTGAGAACTTCAGTGGACTGAGATGCAAGTAAGGAGGTTGTGAGGGAGGTGGAAGATTACTTTAGTGCTTTAGTTCAATCTTCTAACCCAGGCTTGGGGGCATGCAGCCTGATGGGTATTAAGCAGTCAATTTCTCAGGAGATGAATGTTAGATTGGTGAGGGAAGTGGATGACACTGAAATTCATGAAGCCTTGATGGGTATGGATCACTCAAAAGCCCCAGGGGCTGATGGGATGTCCCCAGCTTTTTTCCAGAACTCTTGGGGGGGTAGTTACGCATCATTTCTTAGCTGCTATTAAGAACTTTTTGATAAGAGTCAGATGCCCAAAGGCATTAATCATTCTGTCATTACACTCATCCCTAAGAATAAGCATGGTATCAAAGTCTCAGATTTCAGACCTATTAGCTTATGTTCTGTAGTGCACAAAGTGATTGCTAAAGTGATAGCAAATAGATTAAAATTTGTTTTAGGTGAATGCATCTGTGTCTCCCAATCAACTTTTGTTCTTGGGAGACAGATCTTAGACAATGTGATTCTTGCTAATGAGTTTGTCCACTTTCTTAATAACAAGAGGAAGGGTAAGGATAACTTCATGGCTGTGAAACTTGATATGGCCAAAGCATATGACTGTGTGGAATGGTCCTTTTTTACTCTTATTTGCAAAAAAATGGGCTTTTCTGATAGGTTTATTAAGTGGATTTTTGTGTGTATTAGTACTACCTCTTTCTTTTTTAATATTGAGGGTCAGGTTATGGGTTTCTCTAAGCCATCTAGGGAAATTAGACAAGGGGATCCCCTTTTCCTTTATCTATTCATTTTGCTCTCTGAAGCCTTTTCTAATCTATTATCCGAGGCTTGTTTATATCAATCTTTTCAAGGTCTTAAAATCAGCAAATTTTTCCCTTCAGTGTCCCATTTATTTTTTGCTGATGACTATTCTCTTTTGTAAACCTGATGCTAAACATGCTTTAATCATTTTGCAGATTTTGCATCAATATGGTGCTTCTTCGGGTCAACTTGTTATATGACTAAGTCTTATGTATTTTTCTCTAGAAACACTCCTTTTCATGTGAAGTCTGATATATGTGCTCTGTTTCAAGATATGGCTTGTGTCAATTCTTCCAATTATTTAGGGTTTCCTCTTGGAATTGGTAGATCAAAGAGACAAGCTTTTAATTATATATTGGAGAGTGTTAAAAAAAGAGTGAAAAATTGGAAAAACAAAATGCTGAGTGAGGCTGGCAAAGAAGTCTTAGTTAAGACTATTTTGGGTGCATTACCTACTTATGCATGTCATGTTTTAAATTACCTCTTTCTCTCTGTGAGGACATCAATAGGGAAGTGGCTGATTACTGGTGGGGTAGAAATGAGAGTAGGGGTAGAAGGATTCATTGGGCTGGGTGGGAGAGTGTAGCTGTTCCTAAGTCTGAGGGGGGCCTGGGGTTCAAGAACTTCAAAATTTTTAATCAGGCTCTGTTAGGTAAATAGTTGTGGAGAGTGTTGACTCAACCTAATATTCTTATGAGTAAGGGGGGAGATATCTTCATAAAGATAGTCTGTTTTCTGTTAAAAAAAAAGTGGAGATTCTTGGATGTGGAGTAGTTGGTTAGGGGCTAGAGAAGGGCTAGAGTTAGGTTTGAGATTCAAATTGGGTAATGGAGATTCTTTAAATGTTTGGGAACATCCATGGGTTCCTAACATCCCTAAATTCAAACCCAGATGTTTGTTTGGGAGTGACAGGGTTAGATTGACTAGAGTGAGGGATTTAATATGTGCTGATAGGGGTGTTTGGGATTTTGAGTTAGTTAACCAATCTTTTGAGCCTGTTGTGGCCAAACAAATCATGAGAATTCCCTTAGATCTCTCTGGGCAAAGGGATAGGCTTGTGTGGGATAGGCATAAGAGGGGTGAGTTTTCTGTTAAATCTTTGTATGAAATCTTGAATGCTAAATATTTGGCTCTGAAGCATGTGCCAGAATCAAGCAAGAGATCAACAGAGGAAGCCCTTATGTGGAATAGAACATGGAAACTTCCCATTGCCAACAAGTTGAAGAATTTCCTGTGGAGGGCTTGGCATGGCTATCTGGGTTCCAAGAAGAAACTGTTGAGTAGAGGCCTTGAGGTGGATGTTATTTGTCCAAGCTGTGGGGAAGTGGTAGAAGATCAAGACCACATTCTTCTTAGCTGTCAAAGAGCAAGGAGATGCTGGAAGCTACTAGGCATTGAATGGAATATGTTACAGGTTAATCAACCTTCATTTACAGATTGGTGGTTGAATATTTTTGGTGCTCACCATTTCCAAAACATCAAAGCTAGAATAAGTCTCTCCACTTATCTTCTTTGGTGGCTTTGGAAAACAAGGAATGCTTGGTTATTTGAGAAAATCTTTGTTGCTGAGGAGATTGTGGTTCTAAAACTATGTTTGGTTCAAAGGAGGGGAGGGGAGGGGAGAGGAGGGGAGGTGATATGGGATATTATACCCACAAGGCTGAACCGGTCTGTTGACCAGTCGAGGAGGTCATATTATGAGGAAGCCAAAGGAGTCGAGCAATTAA